GAGATTGCATATCTGGCATTTATGCATCCAGAATGTTCAATTTGAAAAATACATCTGAACTCTTAAATACCTTTATATTGGTAGAATCTTTATTGACTAGCATTAGTAAGGAAAGAGAAATGGAAGAAAGGAAGACTGGAAGGAAAAAAGGAAGGAAGGAAAATATATGGGTCAGGTTCTCAGTTTCAGATGACAGAGCAACAGGAACTACATTTATCAGAAAAATTTATTAAGAGAGATAGACAACCAAAAAAATTGTTGGCATTGCAGAAGAAACAGATTGCAAGAGTTTCATGAGTCACTCTTTGTATCCCCTCAGTAACAGGCTTGCCCAAATCAGGAAGCTCTGAATCAGGAAGCTACCCTACAGCCACTAACCTTAGAACAACTAGGCCAGCTCACTGCTATTAGGTAGTCTAGCAAGATAAGTGCTTTGCACTTGCTCTTCACCCTTGCCCAACTCATTGCCAAAGCAAAATTTTGTATGGGGAGGCTGAAAATAGAGTTTTGGCATTATTACTGTTGTTGTTATTACTATTAATTATATTATTATTACTATTACTATTACATTGGAAAAGTGTATTTAACAATGTAAAATGCTAGCCAAATGTGTAGAGACTGCTCAAAAAAAAAAATTGGAGGAGACATAAATTAGAGAGTCTAATGTGAAATATGCTTAATAACCCCCAAACTTGAATGTTTCGGTATTAATTCCAGAAAGAGATAGCAATTTTGAAGGGAGAAGGCTTCAGCTAGCACATTTGCTCAACTTTCAGAAAACTTATTTAGAATTTTGGTTCTTTACATTTCATGTTTGTCTTTTCTCTTAGCTGTTTGAAAATCTTTTAGAATGAGAATTTTTTTTTCTCTTTCTTTTAGAGAGAGAGACAGAAACAGAGAGCAAGAAGAGGAATGGTGGGAGGGACAGAGGGAGAGAGACAACCCTAAGCAGGCTCCAGGTCCAGTGCAGGGCCTAGAGTGGGCCAATCCCTGGATCTGAGATCATGACCTGAGCCAAATTCAAGAGTTGGACACCCAACCAACTGAGCCACCTAGGCACCCCAGAAAGAAAATTTTTAATTCTTCAATATTGTTCCCATTGGAATAAAATGAATAATTATTTCTGAAATGACAAATCAGTCCCACACTATTTTATTGTATTTCTTGATTATTTTTAGAGAAAGGTTTGGAGATGGTACAATTCTGTGTCTCCCTCCATTGCTCTGCATGTACTCATTTCTGGTAGCCTATTTCTCCAGACTGGAAATGAGTGGGCTTTTATAAAAGAAGAATGGCTCCTATCAACATATTACTGAAAATTACTTGACATGATTTTTATTTGAATAACAAAACCAAAACAAAAATAAAACCTAAAGTTCTTTAATTATAGGAAAGTAAAAACACATACCAGAGAAATGAAAAAAAAAGTTTTTCCTTTAAATTGATGGTAGATGTTTGCAGGATTCTTGATGAATTTATGAGGGATTAACATCACAATCTGAAAATTAAAAACATCTAGATTATTTGGATACTTTTATAAATAGAAAGTTAAACTAGAATGATGACCATCCAAGTTAAGGCACTTGAAATTTTTCTTGGTCCCTAAAATAATGAGGAATGTAATTTAATCCCTTTAGCAGCAAGGGGGCATATTCTCTTTTTGGATATCAAATAGACTACATTTCCTAGTGCCCTTGAATTTCAGTGGGACCAGGTAACAAGTTGTCTCCGACAGAATGTGAGCAGAGGAGATGTGTTCCAAGTTCAGACTGAAGCAGTTAAGAAGTGGCTATGCTTTCTCCACACTCTCTTTTTGTCTGCTGTCTGGATGTGAAGACTGCAGTAGTGTCCTAAAAAGTGGCAAGGCTATTAAGATGGTAGAAGCCTAACTCTCTGGAAGACTGCATGGGGCAGAGTCCCTGCTGCCTTAGGCTGGCGGGTGAAGTAAGCATAAAAGATATTATTACTTTAAGCCAATGGGATTTTTAATATTGCTTTCCAAAGCTGTTACCTACCCTGACTGATAAACTTCTTTAACATAGTGTGCTTTGGAAGAAAGTAGTTAATATAAAAGTTTGGTCTTCCTACTGTCAAAAGAAATTTCTAGGCCCAAGATGGAGCTGCTCTTGCCTGGACCGCCAAGTAAGCAACCTGGAACTTAAATAGCTTTTGTGTCCCTGTAAATGCTCCACCAGACCAGAGAAACAGTGTATGCAGTCAGCCAATCCCCAAATGCCAAGCCAAGTCTGGGCTCATACTTATTTCCTTATTCCTTTCCAACCCCAACAAGGTTGACAATGTAGCCCCAGCTAATATCTCCTGTTTTTCTCTTCTTTGTTCTTTATTCTTTATCCTGGAAAAGCCTCTCGCCTTCCACCCCATTTTGTAGTTCTCTGGAGCTGATTCACTTCCTGAAGTGTTAAAGTTTGTGTCACCTGCATTGTCTTCTTTAATTGTTTTTTCACACTGATAGAGTTTCCATCATTCATATTTATGCAAAAGTACACTGAAAATACCAAAGCATTTTTCAAATTTAATATATGATTCTTATTAACAGCATTAATAAGAATATTCATAATTACAGAGAATTCAAGTATTGCAGTTGTGTGTTTTGGAATGAAAGTTGGGGAAAGGAATGGATAGACAAAGAAGAATCCCCTGAAATCTGGCTTTTCTGAGAGGTAGTCCATGTTGTGGGATCATAGTAGCATGATTATTTTAATAGCTGGATTTATTAAGAAAAATGTAGACTCCTAAGAAAGCGTAAAACATAAGACAGAGATGACTTAAAAGAGGCAACAAAACTGAATCTTGAATTTTCCCTGTTTCTGGATTTTTTTTCTTAATGCACTTTTATTTAATTTGGTTTAGCTATTTTAAAGATTGTATTACTCTAGTCAGAAGCAGTGTTTTAGAACTCAGCTGGGTCACAGGGACTTTCTCACCATTCCATCCTAATTTTCAGTTTTGCTATAATAAAAGCCCTAAATATATTGCTACTGTCTAGACGTTTTATCTGAAACAAGTGTCCTTTGTAGTCTCAGAGGACTTTTCTATTTTATTTCCAGTAAATCAAAGTCTGTGAAGAGCTTTGGTTCTTATTAAGACATACCCTTCACAGTCCAGTGACTGCCAACAGTGGCAAGCCACTGACAGTTCATTTACATATAAGTGATGACTTCCATCAGGTAGTTGGCTCAAAAACACAATGGACATTTAGAGCATATCCAATATTTCTTGTTCTTTGATGAGCACCAAGTGCCAATTTTTATATAGAAACTGACTATTGAGAAGTGAAGGCTTCTTTTCCCTGACCTTACCCTGTCTTCTGCAGCCCTAGAGTCACTTATTGTCACTGAACTTTAATGCAGGATCACACCTCAAAAAGACGTTCAGTAGCCCTCAGTTTGCTGAAAATCAAGAACAATAGTCATATGTTGGAAATAGGAGACAAGAACAATCATCACACTGTTAAAGGAAAAATAAACTATTTCCTGACCCTAATTGTCATAATCATAACTTAATTTTTATATATTACTTTTATAATGTAATGTTGGTATTTTTATATTCATTGCTTTCTCTTATAAATATATTTGCCATTTGAATTAATGAAACTCATTATGCAACACTCATTAGGAATTCCTGTATTTTATTTTGCAGTTACTTTTCATTATAATTCCATACTTTTCCTCCCAATTTTTTTTTTTTTTTTTTTTTTTTGCATAGTGGTAGCAGAAATCTAGCCAAAGTTTTATCCCAATAATGTTATAAAAAGGAACAGGCTGGGGCTCAGTGGCTTAAAGCCTCTGCCTTCAGCTCAGGTCATGATCCCAGGATCCTGGGATCGAGCCCCACATTGGACTCTCTGCTCAGCAAGGAGCCTGCCTCCTCCTCCCTTTCTGCCTGCCTCTCTGCTTACTTCTGATCTGTCAAATAAATAAAATCTTAAAAAAAAAAAAAAGGAGCAGGCTGATAATCTGGTTTCATACTGGAACTCAACTCATGTAATTTTTTTTCCTTTATTTTTTTTTTTACTGTGCACTTTCCAGTTTTCAATATTGAAAGTTTTGAAAGGAAGAAAAGATTTTTCTTTCAAATGAAACCCTCTGAATTAGCAAAAGAAAATATGGATAATTTAATTTCATAAATACACTAATGTCTACATTTTAGCTTGTCATCGCTTTCCACCACCACCCCCCCTTCAAATGTTTTACTGCAAACATTTTCTGGCTAGAGGATCAGCATGTTTTTTAATCGAGCTTGGTTCTGGTTTTGGTGAGACCATGACTTAATGTGATTCTTGTAACTGGCTTTTCTAAAGATTTTATTCTAATAACTTTCATATGGATTCTACAGTAAACTCCATTGCATGAGGTAGCCTAAGAGAGATTTTAGTCTTAAACCAGAGTCGATTATAGAAGTAATAGAGCAGAGGTAAGAACTGAAAAAATGAAACACACATAGTTCCTGCCTCTATTCATATCTAGTCTCCATGTTAGGTACAGGGTCTGTTCCTTCAACTATCCTTCACTTGGTTCTCCAACCCCATTCCTAGAAGTAGGGGATGGGGGAGAGAGGGATTGATGGACAGATAAAATTAAACTCAAGAGATGGGGTGGCTGGGTGATGGACACTGGGGAAGGTATGTGCTATGGTGAGTGCTGTGAATTGCTTAAGATTGATGATCCACAGACCTGTACCTCTGAAACAAATAATACATTATTTGTTAACAAAAAAATTAAACTCAAGATTCTTAAGGAACTAGTGTTAGCCACTGTGTTTCAAATCCTTTCTGAACTAAGGCAGGTAATTCAGGAACACTGTAGACTGACTTCCAGTTTTTCACTAGAGTGAGGAATGAAAATAGGGAAAAATAATATATGACTACGCTAATAAAATCATAGCAGTTAAAACACATTTTTAGAAAACTTTTTCAAAAACGTTAAGTGCATTTTTAGAAATAAAAGTCTTGAAGTTTCTTCATGGCATTTATTGGTAATGGAACACAAGAAATTAAAGTCCAATGAAAGGAATAGTTGATGCTAGGTGGTTTCAATTTCAGTATGATAAAACAGTAGCTTTTTATGAAGAAGATCCAAAGAATGGTTCATCCAAAGATATTTAGAAATTATGAACTGACTTGTTGAAATCTTTTCTTTGATGTCCAGAGATGCTTGTCATTTTTTTCCTGGTGATACATAATTAATCCATGGCCGATGTTAACATAATCTCTTTGGGTAGAAAGGCTCAACTCTTAAGATAATAAAATTGTACTGAAACATTATTCTACTTCTCGCGATAAATGTCTCATTTTCCTTTCTCTTATAGATCTGGATACTAACTTTCCAACAATTCGGATGTTAGCTCTTTTGAGTATTGGATGTCCATTCACTGTAAGAGAAATATATAATTACATTAGTAAATTTTTAATTAATATAACAACGTCATGCTTTTGAAACCATAAAAATCACAGGAAATAAATTATAGTTGTGCTAGAACATTCAAAGGATTTAACTTGGACACATTTCTTTCAGGTGTATCACACTACATTATATATCATGCCAAGAGACTCAGCAAGAGTTACTGTGAGACCAAACAGCTGAGAGAAAGGATGGCAGAACCTGGATTCCATCAATATACAGCACGCTTGAAATAAATTAGATGCAACGTATGTTTGACCATAAGAGCAACAGTATTGATTTCTTTTTTTGCAATACAATAGACTCAGCTCTGATACTGATATTCAAATCAATATAAACCACCACTATTCATATAGATTGCTTATACTAGATTCATCTTTAGGTATAAAATGACTTTCCAAATGAGAAATAAAAGCCATAGATTTACTGTGTCCACCATTATGCACAGCACTAATTTACAGATAGGGTAGTGTACTTTTACCTTTTAAGACCTATTGTTGTTATGAAACAAAAACATATTAAAAAATAGTTTAAGTTATGAAAAGAACCATGCACATTACTTAAAGGAATTTAATGACTTGATGTGTTGTAAAAGAAGAATCAGGGCATTGTTGCTGTTTTTATGTTTGCCTATATCGCCATTAGACATATAGCAAGGCTTATAATAACAAAACTAAATTATACTACATTCATAGTATTTATAAAGTAATTAGTAATTATCATTGCAACTGTGATCATTGACAACTACCAACTGGTGTTCTAATCTAGTACTCATACAAGATAAGCATGTTAGTTCTAAAGATCAGATCTTAGTAAAAAATGATTTCTTATTGTGATCTTTTTAAAAACTATATACAATACCAACCATACATTTCATCAGACAGAAGATATTTAAAACATAGGATTTCTCAAAGTAGGTAAAATAGAAAAAAGTGAATATAATGGCCCAAGCTCTTGTTCTTATACATTTGTCAGTCAATTCAGATTTAATATTCAACCTTAGTTTCCTTATTTTTGAAATGGGGATAATATCTATCTTTTCTGGTTGTTGAAAGGATGCAAAAAAGATATGTGTGTAATCATAATGTATTAATAATGACTCAACAATTATAACAATATACCATACTAACGCAGGGTGTTAATAATAGGGAATGGGGGAAGGGGGTTGTAAGTGAGAGGGGATATGAGAACATGCTCTACTTTCCACCATTATTTCTGAAAACTTAACTCCTCAAAAAAATAAAGTCTGTTAGTTTAAAAAAAGATATGTCTGACACTTCATAAGTATTTAATTTATAGTTGCTGTATTATTATTATTATTTATATAATGATATTATACAGGCTTTATAAAGGTATTTCACTAATAATTGTGGAGATAATAGAAATATATATATATCTCCCTGATTTTTGGCACAGAACTTCTTAATTTTCTAAGTGATAAGAGCACCAGGAGCATCTCTTGGTCTAATATTTGGTCTTTGACCCCCTCTCTGACACAAAACCCCTGAAACCCTTCTAAGTTCTCAAGTGATAAGAGCACTAGAAGTATCTTTTGTTCTCATGAGGTGACTCTAGATGAACTCCTGGAAGAGAGGAAGTCATCGGAAAGAATAAGCCATGATTAGACACTTGGAACTTTCAGTACCCCCCTCTGAGAGAAGGAAGGAAGAGGAGCTGAAAATGTAGTTAATGATGGATCATGCTTACTTCAGGAAGCCTCCATAAAAATCCCAATAGTAGGGCATTCTGAAAGATTCTAGGCTAATGAGCACATCTATACCACAGAGTGACTATACTCCAACTCCACAGGGACAGAAGCTCCTACACTCAGAATCCTCCCAGACCTTGTCCCATGTATCTCTTCATCTGGCTGTTCAGCTGTGCTCCTTATCAATCCTTTAATAAACTAGTAAACATAAGTGTCCCACTGAGTCCTGTGAGCTGTTCTAGTACATTAATCAAACCTAAGGAAAGAGTTGTGGGAAACTCCAACTTCTAGCCAAATTGAACATAAATTGTGGGTCTGGGAGCCTACTACTTGCAATGTGCATCTGAAGTATGGGGCAGGCTCTTGGGATTGACCCCTTAACTGTGGGATATGATGCTCTGTCCAGATAGATGTTGTGAGAATTGAATTAACTAATAGGACATCCAGCAGGTATCCAAGAATTACTTGTTGATGTGGGGGAAAGAAAACCTCACACACTGATGACTAGATTCTTGGTGATCAGAAGTGGGATTGGGAGCAGAATCCTAAATTATATAATCCATTATTTCACAAATATTTCAGTTAAATAAAGAATCATTTAATTTTAGAAAGAATAAAAATATATGTGATATATTTTTAATCTTTCAAAGTAAGTATTCTTAACCTTCATTTTTGTCATATGGCAGAGAACAATCTTTTTGATTAAAAAAGTCAAATCTTGAATGAATTATTATATATATTTTAGCTGCATTGCTAAGCTGGCAGAGAAGGAAGAAAATGCAGAGGCCAAAACAAAGTAAAATCAGTAAACTTAGTGAATATTTAAGAGCCAAAAACCAGTTTTGTTCTGTTTTGGTTTGGTTCTTTTGGTCTGAGGTTTTCTCCAGAACCCCAGATACCTAAACTTCATTCAGCCTTGTAAGGGAAATGGGGACATGAGATAGAGCACAGGGTCCACCTAAAATGAAGAGTTCAGCAGGATACCACAATGGAGGGTTTGGGCCACAGAAGGATATGGTATCAGAGTAGGCAGGATGAGGTTACGAGAGAGAGAGAGAGAGAGAGAGAGAGAGAGAGGAGGGAAGGGAAGAGAATGGAAGGGAAAGGAAGGAGGGGAGGGGAGGGGAGGGGAGGGGAGGGGAGGGGTGGAGTGGGGAGGGCAGAACAGGGTATGGAAAGAAAAGGAAGTGAAGGAGAGAGGAGGAAAGGGGAAGACAAAGCAGAGCAGGGTAGTGAAAGAAAGTGGAGGGCTAGGCAGAAGGAGAATGGGGAAGGGAAAGAAAGGAGAGGAAGAGAAGGGAAGGGAAGGGAAAGTGAGGGGAGGGGAGGATAATGTTGGGGAGCTGAAGGGAAGGAAAAAGAAAAGAACACTTCAAAGAAAAACAGCAAGGAAACTTTCTTATCTCTATGAGACTGGGTAAATAGAGCAGAACCCCAAACCTGGCTCTGGTTTGATGTTCCAGTTCATATCACCCATGTGTCCAAAAATATTTCAATAAATTTAGAGTTTGTTGGGCTCCAAGAACAAATAAAAACCTCTATGGAAGAAAGAAACTTCGTCCAAGGCTTTTAAAATATGTCACAAAAACATATTTATTAAATACCTATATGTTACAATGTTGTTTTAAAAGGAAAAGCAGATTACAAAGCAGCATCTACAATATGATCCCAGGTTTTTTAAAAAAATTATATGCAAAGGAAAACACCCATAATATTAAATAGCAGAATATTAATAGCAAGTGGAATTATAACTTAGCTTTAGTTTTTACCCATATTCTCAATAGTAGATACTACCTATGTAAATATAACAATTTTAGAGATTTTTCAAGTTTCTAGATTGGAATATATGGTAGAAAGTCATTTTTACTATGGCTAATGAATAAATAATCAGAAGTTAGATATATTTGTTTATACTTCAATAATTTAAAGAAATGATTATAAATTGAAAAAGTATTCAAATTAAAAAGCTAATATGCTAAAAATATGCATTTCATAGGCTGCATTTTTCAGAAAAGAATATTAAAAATTTTCTCAAATATTCAAAATATGTTTTGTCCTCTTTTTTTGTTGTTGTTGTTTAACCACCTCCAGACTCTCACGCTCACAAGTCTATTCCATTATTTCTCATACAGCCTCTCTGACCTCTTCAAGGTTATGTATTATTCTACACTATTGGCTACTTTTTGTGAATGCTTCAAAATGAATCTTTGTAAACCAACTTGGAAAGAAATGAATGCGGATTGTGTAAAAAGTAAACTATACATTTAGGTCACTGAGTAGCCATGGAGCCCAATTTGCACAGGGTCACGCAAAGTCCTAGGAGGTGATGTAGAGGGCACCAGCTAAGACTTTTCTGAGTCTCCATTTCCTAAGCCACAAACAAACCAAAACCAATAAACAAACAAAACCACCCTGCAATCATTATGTTACTCAAAGAGATTTAGTTAGGAAAAACAAACAAACAAATAAAAAAAGGAACTACATAAGTTGGTATCATGGTCCTGTCCGCCAAAAGATTATTGTAGTCAATATATAGCAAAAATATCATCCTAGACGACAAATGATTAAGGACATATTTAAGTAGTTACACTTTATGCTAGTATACAGCAGGGGTCCAAGTGTGAAACTATATTTTGTGAACCTTAGGATTTCAAACAGGAGTATGTCCAGAAGAATGGCAAAACAAATCCTCTATGGTCAGCTTTGCAAAGAAAGACCAAGAAATCCTCTTGGGGAAAACTCTTAATAAGAGAGTTAGCTGGGTGTTTTCATCTTGATGGAATAAGACAGTGGCAACTGCCTGGGATGGGTGTATTTACATAATCTGAATTGCCTCTTGCTAAGATGATTTTGCTTTGACTCTCCGCTCTCCTGGTCCCTCTCCTGCTCCCACCCCCACTGCATGGGGAGATTCTCAATAACTTTTGTGAGAAAGGCTCTAGTGAGAAAATGGCAGAGCTGAAAAATTGGTTTTCTTACACCATGTCCTGGGGTGCTGTGAGCATAATGCACTCACTAGTACTGAGAGGGAAAGAACAGTGGTACAAAGTTCAGGAGAGAAGCTTTCTCCTTCAGCCTGTTGGAATCACTGCAGCATGGTCTATGTAGGTGCTGATAGCAAGGGCAGCAGCAGGACACCTTCAGCAGGCTCTGGCACTGCAGACTGACCACAGAAGAGGGAATGCTGTGTTGCATTCCACCTAGGATGGCATATTTATGAGCAAATGTGAGATATCCTCAAAATAACCACAGTTATGGGGAAC